TTGTAAATAGGATCACAAGTCCCCTTCTTGTACAGCAATTAACCACTAAGAAGAATATATGCAGTGTATTATTTGTTGAAACTGTACTTCCGATTTGATCTGAAACTGTCTCATTGCTGTTTATCAATAAAACTTTGAAAAAAAAATTTCCCTTGAATGTGATTATCTGCATTCAGGAAGTTTCTACATGAAAAAAAAAAAAAAAATGAATGGATAAAAACATGTGGTATATACACACATTGGACTATTATTCAGCCAGGGATTCTATCATCTGTAGGAAAATGGGATGATTACTCAAAATAAGGATGATTCAGAAAAATATCACATGCCTAGTGTGTGGAATCTAAAGAAGATGACAAGGTAGTAGGAAAGGAATGGAATAAGTGGAAGTGGTCTGGGTCTGGTCAAAATCTATTATATATACTGAAAATAGCAGGAAGGGTGGAGCAAGGGAATGAGGGGAGTGGGATGAATAAAGTATGTTATGTGCATGTACTAATTTGCAAAAATGAAACTCATTGATCTGTATAAACAATACACACTAAATAAAGATTCTATACAACCACTTGAAACAATTAAGAGTGCTGAGTGTGGTGGTGCATGCCTGTAACCCTACCACTGGGGAGGCTAAGACAGGAGGGCTACTGTGAGTTGAAGGCCAGCCTGAACTGCAAAGTGAAATCCTGTCTCAAAATCAAAAAGCAAAGCAGAGCAAAGCAAAACAAAACAAAACAAAAAAGCTAACAAAAAACAATAATAAGAAAACAATGACTGTGGTACTGCATTTGCCTAGTATGCATGAGGGCCCTGGGCTCAATCCCCTAGTAGAAGAAAGAAACTAAAGATGAAAACATTCAAATGAGGAAAGGGGGATTGAATAAAATAATTAAGATGTGGCATGTACATGTACCAGCTCCCCACAAAGAATGTAATGTAAACACATACTAAGAAAAATAAAGAAATTGTTAAAAAGGTAAAGGAGCTAGGATAGGTGAAAAGTGAAAGAGCAGTAGAGAAAAGGGAGAAAAATGCGATCAGTTTGTGCTAATATAGATTTGAGAAATTTTTATGACCATATCTTGTACCTTAAAAAAGTATTTTAAAGATAACAACATACAATGTATTGTTATTTCATTATGAAATTTTGTTTTATCTTTTTTCTATATAATAAAAGAAAACATTCGATCCCGGATACCACATGCCACACTGGCCCTGCCCCTGGGAGTGCTGAGCTGGCCACCACGTCCAAGTATGGTGGTACACACCTGTAATCTCAGCACCGGGGAGGCTGAAAACAGGAGGATCACTACAAAGCTGAGCTGCATAGTGAGACCCTGTACCAAATACATTGGGAAAAAAAAAAAAAAAAAAGGATGAAAACAAAGAGTTCAACAAAATAATGAAAACAGATTACATCAGATAGATTCGTCATCTAGTGTATGTGGTGACAAGCAAATAGAGATACTTAGTAGTATTACGGAAATGCAAATTCAAGCCATATGACATCACATCTTATCTGAGTGGCTAAAGTTAGAACTGAGTAATTTTTGGTAAGACTGTGCAGCAATATTATTAGTACTGATTAGTATTTTGTTCATAAATTGGAATTCTTTTAGTAACACAAGATGGGGGTCTAAGAGGTCAATATCTAGGGATGGACAGACAAAAACAGTCCAAGCCAGCAACAATTTATTCAGAGTGTATAATAAAAGGATGGGCTAGTGGAAGACTCAAGGTCAAGTCTGGGGAAGATTCAAGTGGTCGATGACTCAAAAAGTGGCAGCAGATAATTTGTGATGTCCTCAAGGGGGCAGAGGTGATCTTATGCTAAGGACCCTGCCCTGTGTTTTTTGTTTTTTTTTTTTAATTTATTTTTTAATTTTTATTTATTTATTTGTGTGTGTGTGTGTGTGTGTGTGTGTGTGTGTGTGGCCAGCTCAGCCCACCAGGGGGCGGGGCTG